AAGTTTTTCTATAATCGATTCAGATTGTTTATCCTATTCGAAAACCAATATCAAATTCAAATTCATCATCAATCTTCGATTTCGAGTTAGGGATTTTAATTAGATTAGATTAGAAAGGGTTTTCCTTACTTTTTTAAGGTGTTTGAATATACTATTCATAACTGATCTAAATAATCCTGCTTCAACTGCATGTTTACCAACCGAAAGGTGTGAAATCATATCAGGTCTAATCCCCCAAACCAAATCCCCCAAACCAAAAAGAAAAAACCAAAATCAGTGATCACTTCACTCTTCCTCTTCCGTCAAAAGAAAAGAAAAGAAACTCAACAAATTATTATAAATCGCATTATGATCTTTTTTAGAAAGTTCATCAAAAAACAATTGAGCCAGATCACTAATCCTTTGATCCTGATCATCAATACATTTTGCAATTTCACCTAATTGTCCTTTAACTTTGATCATCCCATTCAAAATCAAATGAGTTAAAACCATTAATGTGTTTTTCTTCACTTCTAAATTCGAATCGTTTAAACCTTTATAAAGTTCGTCGGAATTTGAATCCATGATGGTAGAGAAACTAACAGCTATATCTCCTAATCCGATGATTATATTGGATCGAATTGTAGAAGATTTACTGGTTTCAAAGATTTTAAATAATAACATTAAATGTTGATCACAAAATTCGGCTGAAACACACATGAATTTTCCTAATGAAAGTGTTGCTGCTGTTCTGAGGGTTTCATTCTAAGAAAAAAAGATTAGATCAGACTTTCGAATTTGATTCGTTTATATCATACTTTTGGTAAACAAAACCCTTACCTTATAAACAGCAGGTAATCCACAAATCTGAACAGTCATAGGTCCATAAACACTTAATAAAGATTTCTCACCATACATCAATTCCTTTTCTCTAGCATGAGCAATAATATCACCAATATCATCTTCAACATTCCCAGCCACTTGATCTAATTCTTCTCCTTCCTCTTTTTCTTTACCTGTACTCGTCTTAGATGGATCTTGTTTATTTTTATCAGTTTGTTTAGTTTTCTCATTTTCTGCTTTACGTCGTTTGAATTCTCTTTCGACTAATTCTAAATGTACTAATTGTTTCACCGCACAATGTCCTGCTAAAAAAATCACTTGACTTAATTTGAATGAATCTGCAAATGACGAAGAATCTAATGGATTAGGAGTCGAACTATGAGTTCGAGTAGGTGATCCTGAGTGTGATAACCTTTTTTCTTTGAGGGTGGTTCCATCAACTTGAGAATCCGGAACTGGAAGATTTTCATCGATCTCCATAGGTTGTTGATCTTCTGTCGTTGTTGTTGTTGCTGTGGGTACAGACGATTTTTCAAAACATTCAATCGTCATAGATTTTAAAATTTCAGAACAAAGTGAATCTGGTTGATCTGCTAATGCGTAAATCGTATTAAGAGCTTGTTCAGCCATTGCGAACCATTCTTTTGATTTGGTTGGCATTTGGATAGATTCTGATAATCTATGAAACACTGGATTATCCATTGGTAATCGTACATTTCGATCAACGAGTGAACCTATTGGAGTAAAGTTTGATGATCAAAATCAGTAAAAAGAATTTGGAAGTTTGAAAAAAAAGATATACCTTTCACTTTCTTAGCACTACCACCAATTCTACTTAATGCAATACAAGAATACTTGGCTAGAACCAAATCCGACTATATTTTGAACAAATCAAAAAATTATCAGAATTAAAGAAATCAGGTAAATTAAAAGGTGAATGGAATCCGATTCACTCACTTTACCAATCGGTCCTAATCCAATAGCAATGAGCTTATCAAGATTATCAGCCACCACTTTAGGACAAGGAGCAGCAAGCATACCCAAAACAATAATAGAACCCCTTCTTTGTTGTTTTGAAATATCTTTGTTAGTACTGTAAACTTCCCAAAGCTTACAAATCACATCTTCATGTACATAACCTCTATCCATCATGACACCCATCAATTCTTCTAAAGAGGTTAGTTCTGCTAATGTTGCTCGATAAGTTAATCTTAAATAAAACCATAAAAATATGAAAAAGATTAGTATTGAAATCTCTTCAAAATCAAAAGAAGAGAAAAAACTAACTCAATCATATTCCTAGTGATTCGATCAATATTCCGATTAGCATAATGAGTTAAACTTTCACCTTCTTCTCTAACAAGTGAAGCGAAATAAAGTTCTTGATAACAATCCAGTAAAGCAAATCTAACACCTTTAACTTCTTTGATTTCTTTGGTACCTTCTTCATTTCCTCCTGTATCTTTAACCGATTCTTCTACAGTTGAATTATCACTTGACCAAATCAAATGTAACATTCTTCTAATCCCACTTGATGAACCTTTTAATTTATACATCCATGAAGTTTTAAAAAAATAAATCGCTTCTAAAACTTCTGATTTGATTTTAGATGCTAATAATTTTTCAATTAATGGTATAGCTGATTCTAAAATTTGAACAAATTGAATCGCATCTGAATAATATCTTTTAGTTAATCTTAATTTCATTAAAACTTCATGATCATAATTTGATAAGGCTGCTTGTTGATCAACAGCTGCAATATTCATTTCTGATTTTCTTGCTTTTGATTTTTTCGATTTACGTTTCTTTCCAGTTGTAGTTTCAGAATTCGATACAGTAGAATGATCTCCCATAGTTGTATCACCATCAGCATCCTCTGATCTCTTTTCCGATCCATCCTCTTCCTCATCCTCCTCTTTCTCCATCATCTTCATCCCCACTTTTATTGTCTCCTAAATCCTCCTCGTCTGTATCTTCCATGAGTTTCTTAGCAGCTTCATCTTCAGGTAAATCAAACACGCTTAATTCCTTGACGATTCCTTCAT